AATGCACCTCTTTGACCCAGTGCTGCTGCCAGGCAGGTTTGGGAGCCACCTCAGCATTTTGAGGGGCACGGGAAGCAGGTGCTGGGACCCCATAAATCACCTACTAACCTGCACATAAGTGAAGGGCAGTGCCAACGTTTGCTCTCCTGCTGCCTGAACACTGGTGGCAGTAGAGGGTCTGTGCTTCAGTTGCGTTTCTCACATGGAAACAGATTATTAGTTCCATAATGGTGGAGAGGTGCTCAAAGCCTTTTTGCAACAGCCAAATTTTGTTTGACAGATGTGAATGCCATGCAGCAGCCGATGTGCGTATTGAAATTGTGACTGGATACATCTGAATCACAGAAAAATTGTCTTAATGGGATGCTACCCCGTATAGTGTAACAGCCTTGTTATAGTCTCAGAAATATTTCACAGTGCACGAATTCGCATATATTAAGTAATCATAAATAAGTCTAAATTACATATGCCCAGAATAATGAGCAAAAAGCCTACCTGTGGATTTATTTATTAGGGTTTTTTCTATTAACTTTCCACTAAGGTCCCAATTTGGCAGCTGGTCTGTGTTGGTCAGTGACCCATCTGCTTCCAAAAGCCACTGGTGGTTTCTGTGGGTGCAGGAGCCGTCCCACAGCCCTCTGCTATACAGCTAATGGATGTGTTGCAAACGTCTGCTGGCGAGGTGGTGTGGTATGTTACACGTGGAAATTTAGGAGCAGCTCGAAACTAGAGGAGCACAGGCCAACTTTTATTGCTGAAACACTTGTGAAACTTCTTTTTTGCTTCCAATGAGTGTTTGTAATGGAGCGATAATGTTATATTTATTAGCAGAAATTACCTTTTGGAAGAAGTCTGAAAAGGAAAAAGGCAAATAATTCATAAATGTAGAGCTTGGATTTAGTCTCCTTGTTGGCTGTGTTACTGCAAACATAAAACATTTGCAGCGTGCTTTTACCGGGTCATTCTCAGGCAGCCCATATATTCAATTTCTCTCATTTTATATTCCCTCTTTTCCACTAAGGTGCAAGTCCTGCCTTCACCGCTTCCTCTTCCTCCCTTCAGTGCCCTAGGAGAAAGCTCTGGCTTTGGCAGTGGTGGGGACTGGTAAGCAGCCCTGGCTGGGGGGGCATGTTGCTGCCCTTGTGGGCTCTTCCCTCTGATTTTTTTTGTGAGGAGCTGGCTTTGAACGCGTTGCCTGTTTTCCCCCCCCAAACAGTAGGTTACACTTTCAAAAAGTGACTCGTGTTTTTTACTTCCCATCCTCTTTGCCATCTGTCTGTAGATCTTAGTACGCAGTCTGTTAGGATTTGCCGATAAAGGTTTTATTAAGATTTATTTAATGGGATTTTTGATCTTCCACTCTTTAGTCCATGTTGGAAAAAATATTAAATAGTGACAATCCATAGCTGCCTTGTAACTAAATCACATTCACTTAACCCAGGAAAGAATGATTTCTAAAGAACTTCATTCTGTCTCACAAGACCTTAGTAGTTTTGTTTATTATCTTGCTGTGGTTAAAATTGCCGCAGTAGGGGGGAAAAGAAAAGAAAAATTGTTAATGCAGTTGTTTGTGTGGCTTGCCCTAGATATTATCATTATCATTTTTTAATCATTTTTTTTTCCTAATGAGCAGAAGCAACTGTGAAAGGAGAAAATGCTGAAAACAAACAGTACAACTATAAATAAAATGAATTCTTTTCATGTGATGCAAGTCAAGGGAAAAACCTAGCTCAATATGCTCTGGCTTCTTGACACTCAAGGTGTGATCAGAGATTACTTATCATCCACAGGAGAGTGGGAAGCAAGTTAATTAAAATTTTCCACCCTTTCACTGAATGAAATGTCTCCCAGTTTGAGACGCATTATTTGAACACTTCTTTTTCAGTAGAGCTCTGGCACGTACTTTCTACTTCTGCTGCTGTTCAAATCCAATATTTGCTAGCTAGACAGAGCATTGTAATTTCATCTTATGAAACTGTATGTTTGAAATTTTATTTCCATTGTCTCAATAGTAGATAAAATAATTTTAATTATTGTCTTAAATATAAAATGAATACAAGATGAGTCTTTTCCTCTGCACGTGTCCCCCAGTGTATTGTTTGTTTAGAAGCATTTTTGCTTTGGAAAGCATTTAATATGACACCAATTAAAGGTCTGTATAACCGTGACTCCTGCTGGCACACAAATTCCAGTTGTAGGATAGGATTACAACTGATAATTCAGGAGGGGGAGGGAGAAGCCATTTCTGGTGGTCTTAAAGAAAGCTTCAATTATCTGTATTTGCAAGTAAGGCGCGTGAAGCCCATACGAATTACACCTGTTTATTCAGGAGTGACTCCTTTCTCTTGTCTATCATCTTCAAACGCAGGCAATTATTAGGAGTAGTTTATTCCCCCAGGGACCCAGGGGAAGAGGTGCAGTGTCTGACTCCAGCAAAGCATCGTGCAGCGTCGGAGAGAGCTTGTTAAAGAGCGTGTGGAGCTCGGAGGAGGTGTGCATCTCTGCATAATGTATACGCTTCCTTCCTCCAAACAGCCGAACACGCAGATTGTGGTGTCGAGTACCAGCACATACGAAAAATAAGAGGTCACCTTTTTGTAACATTGTGCAGCACCCTTTCAACAGGGTTTTTTCACATTTCCAGATTTTTTTTAAAAAATAATTCTTTAAGCCTAATTGATTTTTATGTAATCTTAAATTTATTTTCTGATAACTTTACACTTGTGAATGTGCTTACCTGCTCTTTTCCTTTCTGCACCATTGGGACTGTGAAATACAACATCATCTGCTGCAGATGATGTTTCATCCTGACAAGTCAGACAGGTCCAAAGCCAGCCTTGTCTCACCGCTCAGGGCCTGCAGGGACAGTGGGCTGTGGCAGGAGTGACGGCACATCCCTGAAACAATTTGGCTTCTGCAGCAGCCAAATGAGCTCTGCGAGGTATTGATGTCCTTCCCCATTGCCGTAATCTCCCTCTGATTTTTGACGTTGTTTGCACATCCTGATGCAAGGAGAAGTTTCTCCTTGCTAATCACCAACCTTAGGCGATGTATTCAAAATAGAAATCCTCTTTGCAACATAAGATGTTGCTTGGGGCACAAACAAGGTCTGCTGTGCCGGTCTTTCCTGACCTGCTAGTCTTCCACCTTTCTAAATGAGTGAGCTCCCTCTGTTTTTTTCTCTACAAACGCTGTTTGATGGAGGGAATGTTTTGGTCAGATCCTTTTACATGTCTTTCGACTCCCAGGTGGGCTTGCGATTGCAGATGCTCTGGCCTTATTCTCAATGCTCACGTTGCATATTTTCATCTTTATATTTGGAAGGCGTTGTTGACCAATCTCATAAATCTCAGTGTGTTATTAATCTGTTTTCCTGAGACATTAGTTCTTAAAGGCATCTAGATGCATCATTGTGTTTGCATTACTCTTGGACACTTTATTTTAAAAACTGGAAAGAGGGCGGAAATATCCATCTTACTGTAGGTATAAGGAGCGGGAAGGGCAAAGAGGCAAATGGGAGCTTGAGGTGACTAAATCTGACGCGGTCACAGCTGTATGAACGCTTCAGAGGCCACTTGGTATTGCTCCCCTCTCGCAGGGCATCTCCTTCCTCTCCTGGAATCAGCAATTCTGGTCTATACATGGTGATGTTGTGAAGTAGCTGTACCTCTGTGAGTCCCTGCAAGCCTCTCTACAGAAATCAGGAGTTTCATTAGCAGAGTGTTCTCTTGCGCGCACTTTCTGGGGTAGAGTTTTTGTTCTCCTTTTTAAGCAGGAGTGGTACAGCTGCTTTGGCTACTTGCATTTGTAGTCATGATCAGGTTTTTAATAGGTATAGTCAGGCAGTCATTCAGTTATGAAGATATCAAGTGACCTATATTACGTTTGTTAGAAGAAAGGAATAGCTGAGATGATTGGAATTCACGAAAATACCTTGAAATAACTACAGCAGGATTTGGACTAGTTCTGATCAAATGGCTATTTTATTACTACGGAACAAATGGATTTTTTGGAGCTGCAAAACTATTGTGCCTTACCCCAGTGTTGAGAATTGGCAGTTCAAACTCCTCGCATGGACATGAAACCAGTGTATGTGCCTGAGCTTTTTGGCAAATATAATTGTTATTCCAAAGGAATATAGCTATATTTTTAGAGACTAGTAGTTACCATTTGCCTGCTTTGTGTTTATTAAAATTAAAAACCAGTAAATATGCTCTTGCATCTATTCGTTAAGTTACTGGAAGTCTTGGCAATTAGACACCTCACTGGAGCAATCTTTGTTGAAATCACCCGTGGTTCTTTCTGCAGGAATTACAGGGTCTGCCATTTAGTAGAAAGAGAATTAGCAAGGCTCTGCTGGGTAGATCGGCGGCTGGAGCCAGACTTCACTGAAAAGCAACATTTTTGGTCTCGCCCACGGATTTCCTGATTCAAAATAACAAGGAAGCAATGCGTATTTGTGGGTGATAAAAGGAATAGACCTGTACTTGTATATAATTTTTTTTGTTGTTGGCTATTTTGCTTCTGATCCATCATGGTAGAGTAACCCAACTGATTTCAGTTCAGGTCCTCAAGATTGACTCCAGCCTAGACAAGAGCAGAATCCAAACAAAGCAATGTCATTTTTTAACTATTTGAATATCTTTTTGCTTGGGAGATGATAATTGATAAAATACAATTAATTTGTCCTATTCAGATCTGGAATCATCTAAAGCTAGATGAATGACTCAGGCAGATCACAGATGTTTACCATTTTAAACAAACTCATTTAACAGTTTGGGATGTACGGGCAATCGGTCCTGTGTCTCATGTTTTCGAATGCTTTCCTTCCTGCCTAGCTGAACATACAAAACAACCCACTTCAGTACAACCCCCCTTTCTCCCTCCCAGAAAACCCACACGTGTATTTTTCCTTGGTTTTGGTTTTTTTTTTCTTTTTTGTGTCAAACTGAGTGTCGCTATCCAAGTGACGATGCTAACTGTTGATTTTTCTTTCCTAGGGAGTGGAAGTGCAGACAGATTACATTCCGCTGCTGAATTCCCTTGCCATGTATGGCTGGCAGCTGACATGCGTGCTTCCTACTCCAATTGTGAAGACAAACAGGTAGGGAGGGGATGGGCACTGCCTTTTGGCCAGGGAAGTCGCTGTCCGAAGAAGCAACTCTCTGCAGTTAGTATGGATTTCCTTGCACGCGTGCGGTAGCTGCCCTTGCAAGCCCTGCTGCCACAGCTGTTCTCTGGGTTTTCTGAGCATCGCAAGCCACCTGAGGCAGGAAGCACGTGTCTGCAGGCAAATACTGCAAGTTGGCAATGTGGCTTCCGCGTGAATTTTCTGGGTATTGTGTCTGCCTCTCTGTAAACTCCTTGATTGTAAAACTCCTGCTCTGAATGTCCCAGTAACTCGTCTTGGAGGAAGGGCAAATGCTGTGATAACATTTGGAGGGAGATGCTACCCATATGAAGAAGAGTAATTTGATTCTTAATCGATGTCTGTCTAATGCTGCTGGTATACACCGTCTAGCTGAGCAGAACCGTGTGAGATTGGTGTATCATTGCTCTGGTAGCTTTGTTTGCCTATATAGTCATTCTGCAGCCCACTTTGCTATTACTAAAATTCTGAGGTTTTAAATATAAATGCAAGTCACTTAAAAATACTTTTCATAACTGTGGTGAAAAATAATCATCCTACTTGTTAATCATGAAGATGGTGCATTCTGGATTTTCACTGGTGAGGAATATATATATATACACCAATAAAACCAGTCATGATTTTTTATCTTAAAAGAATAAAAATATGCCCAGTTCTTTATGAGATCTAGATGAAGACTACTCCTACACATAAAAGCCTAAAAAGTAAAGGCCATCTGTGCTGGAGGAAAAATGGTATTTAAGTTTTCCTATATGTTTAAATATAGGAATGAATGGAAAATCATAATTATGATTTGTAAGCCCTGTCTCTTAAAGGTAAATATGATTTTCTTTCTCTTCTAGCTTTCTGTATCCCATTTATAACTTCAGTATTACAGATCAGGTTGACGGTGCAGAAGGGCCCCCACCAATCTAACTGCTGGTGGCATCTGTTTGTGCCTCCTATCGTGCTGCAGCCCTGCAGGGATCAGTGCCCCAGGAGGGAGCACCCCCATGTTGCTGAAACGCTGCTACACATAGGCACCGAGGTGCTTGGGTGTCTTGCTTTTTGTTCCAAACAATTTATTTTGTGTTTACACACTAATGCTGATATACTCGGCAAAAGTCCATCACAGGCTGACAGCTACTATCAGACTGAACGGTTGCTCTTGTTTCCCCCCAAAATACCAGGCTGCTCAAAGCCACTGGGGACAGGCAGTGTTCAGGTCATTCTTCATTTTGTTCTTCTTTGACCTGCAGAAATAAATGACTGAGATGGATTTTCGCTTTGAATGATGCTGGATGTGAATTTAATTCATTCTCAGGAGCGTGCATTTGTTTCTTTTCAGGGAGGGGAATTTATCTACAAAGCAAATTGTATTTCTTCAGAGACCTTCTTTGCCCCAGAAAGCAAAGAAGAAAGAATCTAAGGTAAGTAACTTTGAGTTCCTGGTTTCTTTGGTTTTTTGTTGGAGGTATTTCAATATTGTAATTGATTTCCCATAGAGGTAAAAATGGCCTATTCAATGTTTCTCTGCTACAATAGCAAGACACAAGAAATTGAACTGTTCAAACGAAAGAAACAAAAAACGCTCAAATGACGTGAAAGACCTTACATTTCATTCTCTGTTGAACTCACGGCAGCAGAAGAGATGTAGATTTCTCTTTACAGCTGGGCCATAAACCTACATACGTGACCTAAAATTCTCTGCCCATGCTCAGTGCCTGCAAGGTGGAACCAGAACTATTTTCTCTCACCCACTGCATGTCTTTTCTATTTAAATTGCTCTCTCTTTCTTGCTATGTGTTTCGATAGAGCCTAGCACAGTGCAGGTGTTTCTATCTATTGTGTGAATGTTAATGAATTCTGCTAGAATTTAATAAAAAAAAGCTCCCTGAACCCTGCTAGATTATCTGAGAAGGTAGCTGATGGCTAATGATGTACATATGTGGATACACATATGTAGTCCAGTTTCCATTTTTAAATGTGTAGCTGTGGGAATCCCTGCCCAAACCTGTCATGCCGTACAGCTGAGAGGGAAGTACAAGGACTGGAAAAGTCCTGACCTTCCTCTGGTACTCGAATTTGCCTTGCCCTTCCAGTATGCAGAGGGATCAGAAAAGCCAGATGAAGTATGGAAAGGATCTCTGAAACCCCATGATTAAAAGGTTGCTAATTAATAAAATCTGATCTTTATTCTAGCTCTGTGCGCTTGGGTGAGTGCTGGCTAGCCAAGTGGCACCTGAAGGAGCTGTGTGCTTGAGGCCCTACATTAGCTGAGCCACAGTAGGACATTGGAAGCACTAAGCAGAGCTGAGCTCTAGGAATGTTTTACCCAGTGTTTTGGATAACTGCAGATAGTTTTCATCCATAAACCCCTCATTGGTTTGGAGCCAGGTTCGGTGAAAGACGTCTTTTAGAGACAGTGGAGACCAGGAGAGTGTTTGAACTGACTGAAGTAGGAGAGAACTCCTGGGAGCACGACTGTGATTTAGGATTTACCCTCTCTCGTTAGTGAAGCTAGAGCCCGGAGTATTCTGTGAACCTGCTACAAAGCCCATCTTTCTTGTTTTTTCTCTTCATTTTCAGGTGATTAAAGGGATATTGGGATTGAGGGTTGGAGTGCCTGTATTTGGTCATTCTTCTCCTACTGCCATGTGTGGTTGTAATGGAAAGGGTGGGAACCTGTAAGCAATTGTCTGACTTTAAATAGAGAAATTAGTGTGACACTGATTTCTTGTATTATAATAACAAATGCATACCATCCAGATGACTCAAAACTTTGTTTAAATTTTCTCATTCTGGGATATAAAAACTTATTTGACAATGTCTGGTTGACAAAACAAAGGATTTACTTTTTGGCAGTATTAAATATACAGACATATTTGAGGGCAAAAATTACTACAGCACATTTTCATACCAAAGGTCCAGGAAAAATGGGGTACATTGATTATAGGTACAGGAAGAAATGTAAGACCAGTTCAACATGTCTAAGTAGTTGTTGTGAGTCACTTCAAAGACACCGACCCAGCATTTGATTAAGTTGCTGAGTATTCTGCACATAGAATGTCACAGGCTCTCAGGGGTTTTTTAACTTGTGATACAGCATGTCTGAAATGGTTCTAGATAACCTCTCGGAGGAGGGAAATAGGCTGATAAGATGAAAAGGACATTGCAGTGTTGGAAACTGATCAACCCTATCTATGCACACCTATCTATGCTGTTCAGTTTAGCCAGAGGAACAGAAAAGGCAACATGCAAGGAGTGATACAACTTATTTTTCTCTTCAGTAAGACAGAAGAACTCTTATTAGTGCAATATTCAGTCAATGATGAGGTAATTGTGTTCATTCACTTCATACAAAAGCGATGCTTATTTCAGCAGAAGCTGGCTGTATGCCTTTTTGTGAAACACAACATAAATACCTGACTAAGTATACATACATCTGCACGTACGCAGAGTCTCCTACAGTCTGATCTGTATCACATTCAGGGCCCTTTGAGTTAACAGGGAGCTGGGGGTGCCCAGCACTTCTGCAAATCAAAGAGAAAAATATTGAGGTGTCTCTGAATTTTAAATCTGTCACTTAAAGATCGTTAGAGTGTAGAGAAAGAGGAAAAATAGCTTCCTCAAAACCTAAAACCAAGAAGAATCTTGTGAAAGCCAGCTGCTGCTTTTTTTTCCGTTTTTACACTAGGTTCTGGCTAGCAGAAGGAAAGAGCATTGCTCCATCTTTGTAATCTAATAAACTAAAAAGGTTTTGAATGGCTTTTTGATTAAGGAATAGCTAGATCAAAAATTTATGAACACGAGTCCTTCTTTTGACCAACTTTGGCACAAACCTGGTTGCACTGGAAAAAATGGCTTTTGGACCACAGCTGAATTTGCTGCCTGTCCTGATGAGATGATTTATGCCATCCAAACATCACCTCCTAACCCATCTCGGGAGTTTCCATCAGCATGGACACTGCAGACAAAATGGTTGTGTACGTTTGCGTGTACTTAGCAAACTTGTGTAGGATGGCTCAGCAGCAGCTTGGAACATGGTCTGGCTTTCATTAGGAAGGTCCGTGTATTTTTTGACAAATGAAGCAGATATACCAGTGGCATATTTGTCAGCCTTTATATATGTTATTCCTGTTGAGTCAGTATTTCAAGGTACTGCTAGTTCCCTTAGTTCCCCCTTTTTTTTTTTTTTTATAGTAGTTAAAGTTTCTTCTGAAATGGCAGCTGTGGTAAGTCGTGGTGAGCACTGCAAGAGGCAGCCTCGTTCTTTCTCATCAAAAAACTTTCACACAAATGGTGCAGAATATTTTACTGTTTGGGTATGGTGTTAGTTCTGCTGCTAACCTGGTGAAAAACATTGGAATACCACCCCAGGATTGCTTCCTCCGTCTGTGCTTGTGCAGCTTTGCATATTCTTGCTTTGCTCATGGTGCAGGTTGGCTGCCAGGGTGCTGTAGGCCTCAACAGTGACACAGCATGGGGAGAGGAACCCACCAGACGTGTGAAACAGCAGAAGCAGACTGCAGCACAGTCTCTTTTCTCTGTGCGATAGGTATTTACGTGCAGGCACAAATTATCTTAAGCCATTTGATTTAGTCATGCAATTGTTTTTTTTAATCTTAGCTCTTTTTGGTCAAACTAGTCTTTGAATTAAAACTAAATACTAAAAATGTTTCTCCTTAGGAAAGTACATGTCCATGTGAGATTGTCTCCAATGGTCTTTAACGTTTGGATCTCTAATTTGTAGTTTCACTGGAGGTTCTCCAAAGACGACATGCACAACAAACAAATGAAGAAACCCACAAAAGCTAAGTTAAGTACTAGGGAGAAGCAAATGGCAGAGGAGAAGCAGGAATTTGAAGTCACAGAGAACACAAGAAACTTAGAAGCACAAATCTCAGCGGCAGCCAAGCCTGATCCAGAACAGCAGCTGGATGATGTCATAGACTTGGGAGATGAGGTAGCTGGGACCAACAACAGAGGTACCCATCATGACAGGGTGTCGGAAGAGACACGTCCTGCCAGTTACGATACTGACAACAATGACGTGCAGGTCTGCAGCAGCCAGAGTACGCCTGGGTGCTGTGCAGATCAGGTAACTGCGGGGGGAGACTCTGCTCCAGTGTGGGATGGCTGCAATGGCAGCGACGGGGCCGGGCTGGGCCTGGACGGCTCCTGTGAGTAAGACCTTTGCTTCAAGAATCTTGTGAGTTGCTGACACTTTGCCAAGACAAAAGAACAGATTTTGCTAATCACCATCACTAACTTCATCGCTCAATTTAGCATTTCTTTGGCATTGTACTTATTTTGCTCCTTAGCACACCCATATCTTGATGTTTTAAGTAAGCAACTACAGGGCCCGGGCTCTTTAACCCACAGAAATTAATTGCAAAATTCCGTCTACTGTACAGAGTGGGAAATGCCCTACACTATCTCCTAGAGCTACACTTTAAATTAACATTAGGGACAGAAAACGTACTCGGGTTTTTCTGTGACCAACCCTAGCAAACAAGGTTTGTATCTAGGTCAGGGTAAATGTTCCACTCGGTCAGATTTTACTCTGTAATACTTTCTTGTCCATGTGTCTTTGCTGGAGAAGTTATTGTGATACGTTACTTCCGTCATTGAGCTTGTAGCGTCATGAAAATGGTATTTGGACTTCAACAGGCTGAAATTGGAAAGCGTAGGTTAAGATGGCTGTTAGCTGTATTTATCTCAAATAGCACACTTACTGATGATACTCTCTTCTGAATTTTATTAACTCTTGCAGATCTTTAAGCAATAGCAAACCATGTTGCTATTTTAGGCACACTGGGTGAACAAAGCCCATGGTAAATTTGTGTCAGGCAGATGATTCCAATATAAAAGGCAATTTCCAATTCACTCACGTTTATATTCTCTTTGCCAACCAACAGTCCATCGATAGTTGGGGGGGGCTTCAGAAGACAGAAAAACAGGAAACAAAAAAGCAGGTAAAATATACCTCTTTCAGTGGCTATCTTCACTCAGATTGGAACTAGATGGTACCTCCTGACCCTTCCAGGTGATTTTGCGCCACGTCCTCACCATTACAAAATACGCTGTGGCAAAGGACTGAAATTGTACACAGGGGTCAGTGGCCAACAAACATCACTAAATGAGCTTAGAAAACGCAAATACATTAACAGAGGGCTTTTATACAAGTGACCATATTTTGGGACTGATAACCTAACGGAATTCTGTAAAATTACCAACATTTTTACGTTTGGAGCTACATTAAAATATTTACAAGTGAATGTACATGTGTAAGATAGTTTCTGTGCCAATGTTCTCCAAGTACTTTGGTATTCTTAAAAATGTAGGAAGTAGTAGTTTCTCTCTTCTTAACCAGTCAAGTAAGGAGGTGAGAAATACCTTCTAACTTCCCCTGCTTTTGCTTTCTTAAAGCAAGAGCTCTCTAAGTGATTAGCTGTTTTTTCCTTTGACTGATGACTTGTGCCTGATAATTTTCCTTAGTCTTCAAATCAAAATGCTGTACAAAGAACTATGTTCTGGAGCAAACGCACACCTA